GGCCGTCTCACATATGCTTCGCAGACGACTTTATACTATTTGCAGAAGCATCAATGACTCAAGTCTGAGTGATACGAAGGGTGCTATAGCATTTCTGTGTTGCTTCAGGACAGAAAGTGAGCCTGGAAAAGTCGAAAATCTTCTTCTTTGGGAATGTAAGCCGGGAGTTGGGGGCCTTAATAAGCTCAGAGAGTGGTATACAACCGAAAAGGTATTTGGGGAAGTATCTGGAGATGCCTATCTTACAGAAAAAAATCAGTAGAGATACTTTTGGAGAAGTCCTAGAGAGAGTTTCCTCACGGTTAGCAGAGTGGAAAGGTAAAATGCTGAGTTCCGCATGCCGACTAACACTGACGAAGGCTGTTCTCTCATCAATACCAATCCATACATTGAGTACGATTGCCTTGCCCAAGTCAATCCTCTCACGCTTGGATAAAGTTTCGAGGTCCTTTGTATGGGGGGATACGTCGGAGCAGAAGAAACAACATCTTCTGGCTTGGAAACGAGTTTGCCTACCAAAAATAGAAGGAGGGTTGGGGATTCGTCTGTCTCACACAAATGAATAAAGCCTTGTTAGCAAAAGTCAGTTGGAGGCTTCTTCATGATAAGGCAAGTCTCTGAGCTAGAGTTCTGCGTAGGAAGTACAAGGTTGCGGACCTTAATGATTTATCATGGACCATAGGGAAGGACACATGGTCATCAACCTGGCGAAATGTGATGTCAGGAATGCGAGAGGTTGTGCTACCACACGTGAGTTGGGTGCTTGGGGATGGGTGTAGGATTCGCTTCTGGAAGGATAAATGATTTTTTAATACGCCCTTACTGGACATGACAGAAACTGAGATTCTAACACAGATGGAGGACACTCTTGTCTGCGAGTTTTGAAGGGATGGAACAGGGTGGATGTTCCCTTAACTGGCAGGTTACTTATCACTCCATGTTAGGCTACAACTCGCGGCGGTGGTCTTGGATAATGTCACTGGAGCAAAGGACAAAATCAGTTGGGGGTATAGTCAGAATGGAGAATTTTTGGTAAAAACAACGCACGCCTTCCTTACATAACAGAAGATGCCGAGACAGTGCCTTAAAAGTCTGTTTGATCGCCTATGGTCTGTGGTGGATCCAGAAAGAGTCAAAGTTTTTACTTGGTCAGTGGTGAATCAGCTAATTATGACCAATATAGAGAGACATAGAAGACATCTTAGTGACACGGTAATATGTCAAGTCTGCAAAGGAGGGGACGAAACCATTATACACGTCATGAGAGATTGTCCTGTAATGGAAGGTATATGGAATCGTATTGTCCCAGTGCAGACATAGACTTTTCTTTGAAGGGTCTATAATTGAGTGGTGCTTTGAGAACTTGGGGGATCACTCAGGAGAATTTTGGTTGCCCTTGGTCAACAACCTTTGCAGTTGCGCTTTGGTGGGGCTGGAAGTGGCGGTATGAGAATGTTTTCGGAACTAATGGCAAGTGCCGTGACCGGGTACGGTTCATGAAAGACCTTGCTAAAGAGGTGTTCGAAGCTCACTTGAAAGTTCGGGGGAATACACACATGACTACATGCGTGGAGAGACAAATAGCGTGGGTACTGCCACTGGGCGATTGGATGAAACTCAATATAGATGGGGCATCGAGGGGTAATCTTGGGCCTGCAACGGCTGGAGAATTCCTAAGGAATGCAGATGGTGACTCGTGCGGTGGTTTTACCCTTAACATCGGCATATGCTCTGCTCCTTTAGCAGAGTTGTGGGCCGTATACTATGGTTTGTACATTGTTTAGGAGAAGAGAGTCACGAGATTGGAGATCGAAGTGGACTCTAAGGTAGTAGTTGATCTTCTAAATTCAGGGGTTAGTGATGTTCACCCCCTGTCGTTCCTAGCACGGTTGTGCTACGGCTTTATCAAAAAGAACTGGAAAGTCTGAGTCTCGCATATGTTTAGAGAAGCCAATAGGCTCACAGATGGGTTGGCGAATCTGGCCTTCTCGCTACCTCTAGGCATCAGGTTGTTGGAGTCTCCTCCGAACGAGCTTCATGCAGTAGTAATGGAGGATATGAATGGTTTTGAAATAGCTTGTACTGTACAGTTATAAGAAGATTATAAGTTTTTAAATAAAATTGGGAACAATATCCTCTAATTCGTACTAAAAAAAATAGAAGATAATTTAATAAAGAACATGTGATATTATATTATAATTACGTCTGAAAAAACCTTATTATATATAAAATTAAAAAATAACATATGTTAATTTTTTAGATGACACATAATAGCATATTAAAGTTGCTTCTGAAAAAAAATATGAAGTAGCCAATTTTTTCTAAAAAAACTTTTATTTTATTATAAAAGATATACATAGCTTTAACATTAATATGAAGTAGCCAATTTTTCTTATAATTTTAGTAATAGTTTTATTTTAAGTGTTTAGTTACATTTTTTTGCCCGAAATCAATTTTGAATTTATGTTTTATTACTCGTAATTGTTATCCTTCTGGATCATTTCTTTGTTTTAATATACTGCATAATAATTGTTCCACAGTCGAGCGTTTATGTCCAATCGCTACATAGACACAATACATTGTCTCACTCTCAGAAGTGGCCCTTGAGTTTATTTGCTTTTGGAATAAGTCATAAGGAAACTATTAACCTTGTCTCAACATGAATCAATTTGGCTTGCCTCCTCCTATTTGTTTTTCAGAAAACTCTCGCAGTCAAAAATATTTCAAATAGTTATCATTTTCAGAATAAAATTTTGATTCAAGTAGGAAGGAGCTGTTTAACCTTTTCCTTGTTAAATGGATAGTGATTATCCATTTGCTTTTGTCTTTATACATTAGCATATTAAAGGATAATGCTTATCCATAAGTATTAGATAATGCTTATCCATATATTTTGGATAATGCTTATATATATGTTTTGTCTTTATACATTAGCTTACTTTACTATGAAGTAAGGTTTTTCTTGTAAATAGGTGACTTCATTATTTGTAAATTCAGAAATTCAGAAGAAGAAAGAAATGAAGTTCTTATGTTCATTTTTCTCTCTGAAGTTCAAACTTCTTAAACTCTTCTTTGCTTTTCATATAAAGCATTAGTTTACAACACGTTATCAGCACGAGCGTCTCTTGGCTTGTCTATATACCAGAGAGGTAAGATTCATTTATGTTCAATTTATTTTGAATATTATGATTTACGGAAAGATAGGCTCTGCCTTCTTCGTTTATATGTTATGCCGGGATGGAAGGCTCTGCCTCCTCCGAGCTGGTCGTTATGGTAAGCGCTGCCTCCACGATCAAATAATTATATCATGCCGGGATGGTAGGCTCTGTCTCCTCCGAGCTGATTGTTATGGCAGGCTCTGCCTCCACAATCAAAAATGATCACATGGCAGACTATGTCGCCTCAGATCATATTTATTTATTTATTTATTATGGGAGATTAAAATCTCCATCTTTGTTTATTTATTTATTATGCAATCAGCAATTGTATGGTAGGCTCTGTCTCCTCATATTGCTTTTAATTATTGTCTTTTATTATGCCGTTACTATGCTCAATTTTTAATTTAGCGAATTAAGCTTTGTGATTGAGTAATCATTTGTCAAAGCTCGAGATCGCCACCCTTGACCTGTGTTGAAAGAATTATATGTCTTGGGCGGTAGGTTCAAAGTTGCATCTAAAGAGAAATGATCTCTTGAGCACTATCGATGTGTCGGAAAGGATATTCGATAAAATAAGGCAAATATCATGATCTTTTTACGCCACCATATCCATGATGGTTTAAATGATAAATCCATCACGAGTAAAGATCCTGAAGATCTTAGGAAATAAGTGGTTGAATCTCCAGGTGAGAGAATTCACCCAAAGCTCGGAGTTGATATAAATCCTCTTGGTAGTTTAATAATATAATAAATTCGTGATGAGAAACCATCAGTTTTGTCCAACTAAATTAACTCCATTCCTAGGGGAGAATGATGAGTAATCCACTTACAGTAAGTGTGATGGACAAATTTAATAAAATAAAAGGATGACGGTTGGGATGTTGAAAGACAAAAGCTTAATGGTTTTGATGTATTATATGCTTTTGCTTTGAATGTTTTTGCTATAGGTTCTATTGTATCATAAGCTGTATTGCCAGGTATGTGTATTAATACATCTTTTATAAATATTTTAAATTCAAAAATGTCAGAATTTGAGACTATGGATGGAAAAAATATGTCTAGCAGACAGTGCTACGACACATACAATACTTAAAGATAAAAGGTATTTCTCCTGTCTCAAAATGAAAATCTCCGCTGGAAGCGTGAGTACTATAACTGGTATAGCAAAGATTATACTAGGCTCTGGAAGAGCGAGTTTTTCACTGCCAAGGGGTACAGAGTTTATAGTGCAAGATGCATTATACTCCCCCGAGTCTCAACGGAACTTATTAAGTTTTCGAGATATCCGCAGAAATGGATATCACATTGAGACTATTAATAAGAATGGCTCTGAATATCTTTGCATTACAACGGAGAGTAAACATCAGCTGGAAGAGTTACCAATGATGTCCTCCAGTTTATATTCTACAAAGATAACCATGGCTGAATCACATGTTGCGGTAAACCAAAAGTTTACCAACACTTTTAGAGTAAGGCACGAAAGATTAGGCCATCCTGGTTCAGTTATGATGAGAAGGATTGTGCGAAATTTGAGTGGCCATCCATTGAAAAACCAAAAGATTTTTTAATCGGGAAAGTTTTATGTAAAACATGTTCTTAAGGAAAATTCATATATAGATCCTCGCCAGCCAAAGTTGCACTACAAAAAATATAGGTACTGATAGCACTTTAGGATATCACAATTTTGTTAAGTGCTATTAAAAAGAATATGTTAGAGTGGGGTATTCTCTTATAGCATTTTTAAAATGCTAATCCGAAATTTCATTAAAAATAAGTAAAAATTAATTTTTGGAGCCTAATTTTTACTAGTGAGCGCTAAATACTTAGAAATTTTTTAGGTTTGGTGGAAAAATTTTCCCAAATTTTTTTTGTCCCCTCTCTTTCTCCTTTACGAAAACAATATCCCTTTGAAAAAAAAAACCACAATTCATTCCTCTGCCCTCGTCTCTCTCTCTCTTCTCCTAGTTTCTGGTTTCTTTCTTCGCTCCTTATCTCATGGGGATACAATTTGGGTTTGGCGGAATCTATCCCAATTTTGTTCGGTTTTGACAAATTAAATCTTTTTTTCTTCTAAGTCTTCGATACACCAAAATAGACAAACAAAAACCTTTCCTTTCGTCTCTCTCTCTCCCTCGCCGATCTAAGCGATCCATGGGGTTCTTCTAGGGTTCTTACGGAGGCTACAGTTCGGGTTAGGGTTTGGAATTCCTAAGGTCGCTCCTGCTCTCACATGATTTCGATGGTTGGAGATAGCGTCATTGTTTAAACGGCGGAGGAGGCACATAAGAAGTGAGTGGCTCTTCAGATATAAACTTAAATCTGGTCAGAAGAGAGACCAACATGAGGAGGTAATTTTCACTGCCTTTTCTCTAATTTTAGATCTGTGTCAAAATCGATTGAAGAACTCACCTTGTTGGTTTTTGTAATTCTGCAAAGAGACCCACTTAGGATTTTTTACGAATCACTTTACAAGCAAGTTCCCACTAGCAAAATGGCTCAGATTTGGTGAGCGTTTGAACAGAGGACTGCTTGAGTGAAGGTGTGAAGAGCTTGAATTGGTTTTCCAGCAAGAAGGAAGAGTCGTTGATGATTTGTTAAGCTTAGAAAAGGTTCCTCATTTGCTTTTCTCTTGTAGTGGTTTGAACCTTTTCACTTTAAACATCAGAAGAACTGTGTGAAAAGAGTAGAGCAATTTGTAGTTTTTGAGGGCTATGCCAGTTGTTGACTTGGAAATGCCAACACTTTGCCTTATTGGAGCACCATTGTTGGTCCGCAGTCTTTCAATAGGGATGCCTGAGGTTTGCCTTACATCCCAATCTTCATATACGTGATCATAGTTTTGCATTTTTGTATTGCTTATGATTTTTTATTTGGTTGTCAGATTTGCAATTAACCTTTCACCACCAGAAGAATTCTGATGGGTCACATCGTTTTGACCTACCAACGATTTCAGGTAATGTTACTTGCTTTGTTTCTTCTAATCACACTCATGATTTTAGATTGTTAATGTATCCAGAAACGTCATTGTAGCAGATGACATATATATCCCTAGGCTTCTCAGGAGACGTGATGGTAAAATCTAGTTTCTACAAACTCTCTTGTGGATGTGCATTATTCTATGTTATGTGATTAGTTTTCTATCGTTTATTTTTCTTACAGAGGATAGGAATGATCTAGAGAAGCTAACTCCCATCTACCCACCGCGGTTCTATATGTTCATGACCTATCTAGAAAAGATAACTCTTGCTGTACTCAATCACAGAGCACTTAAGCATCCAAATATCATCCGATTCAAAGAGATAAGTCTTTGTTGATTTGTGCATAATTCGTTTATAAAATTGAGAATTCTGGGGTTTTATGCGTGGCTTTCTCAGGCGCCTTGGATGATTTCAAGGATCTCAATCTAGCACAAAGGTAACTCCTCTTCTTACTCTATCTCCCACGGTCTCTAATTGTACCGCTAGGTCTATTTATAGCATGTTGTTAGCTCTAAATTTGGTTAAGATTGTGGTTAGCTATTGTGAATCTGAACTTAGTCTATGCACTTAAGATGCTGTTTTCAATTATGTTTTTTATGAGAATTGGAATGGGTGTAACAGATATGAGGAACAAGATATGAGGAACAAGAAGAAAGTAAAGGAGAAGGTTGTCCTTATGATCAGCAAGAAGAAAGGAAAGGAGAAGGTTATACTTTGTAAAATTTGTTTTGCTATGATGTATGTCTTTATGATTATGTGTGTAAGACATATTTGGATGATTAATGAAATGATTTTTTGAACTTAATTTCAAATATAAAGTAATCTAACTGATTATATGCTGCAAAACAGTGTTCAAATATATTGGCATATTATAGCACATAAACAATCGATAGTAGCATAACTGAAGAGATATAAGTAGAACTAATACAGCTATAAACCAGTGCTACAAAACAACATATTACAACATTAAACATGAGCTATCATATTATATATTAGAACATTGAAGTAACGCTATAATAAAACGATATATAATAGCGTATAAAAAAATGCTATAGTATAGGGTGGTTCTATTATAGCTCTGGCTGTGGTTCTATTATAGCTCTGGCTGTCATAGCGTTTATGAAAACGCTATTATATCCATATGATAGCGTTTTTGGTGTGTTATGAATGTCCATTTTTCTTGTAGTGTTTGGAATGAATCTCATGTATTCCTAGAGAGAATACATGGTGATATATGTGGGTCGATTAACTCACCGTGCGGGTTATTTAGATATTTCAAGGTATTGATTGACGCATCTAGTAGATGGTCACATGTGTGTCTTTTGACCACAAGAAATATGGCTTTTGCAAGATTCATTGCCCAAATAATCAGGTTGAGAGCGCATTTTCCTGATTATGCCATAAAGAAAGTCAGGCTTGATAACACTGGTGAATTCACTTCAGCGGCCTTTAATGACTATTGTATGTCTTTGGGAATCGATGTTGAGCATCCGGTTCCGCATGTTCATACACAAAATGGCATGGCTGAGTCATTGATTAAGTGGTTGTAATTAATTGCAAGACCGTTAATCTTGAGAACAAAGCTTCCAATCACTGTATGGGGACATGCTATATTATATGTTGGGGCATTGGTCCAGCTAAGACCAAGTGCATATAATGAATATTCCCCCATACAGTTAGCTTTTGGCCAGAAGCCAGATGTATCCCATCTTCATGTGTTTGGATGTGCGGTCTATGTCCCTATAGCGCCACCTCAAAGAACAAAAATGGGACCACAAAGAACATTGGGAATATATATCGGGTATTCGTCACCAAGTATAATTAGGTATCTTGAGCCGGTAACTGGTGATATGTTCACAGCACGATTTGCCGATTGCCACTTTGATGAAAGTGAATTTCCTGCGTTAGGGGGAGGATTGAGAGAATCACCAAATGATATCACATGGTGTACAAAAACTTTGGCTTATCTTGATCCTCCTACAAACCAACGCGAGGTGGAAGTTCATAAAATTATACATATACAAAGATTGGCAAACCAGTTACCTGATGCATTCACTGATACAAGAAGGGTGACAAAGTCCTATATCCCCGCTGCTAATGCTCCATCAAAGATAAATGTTCATGAAGAACATATTGATGTAAATAGAGCAAATGAACCGGTTCAGCTAAAGCGCGGGAGGCCAGTAGGATCAAAAGATAAAAATCCCCGAAAAAGAAAGAAATTGGAAGCAAAGGTTCTGGAAAAACCAAATAAAGCCAAATGTCCTGAAGACATTTGTGAAAAGGTTCCTGAAGAACCAAATGAAAATATATGTCCGGAAGACATATCTGAACCAGTTCCTGAAGAACTAGGTAAAGAGATTTGTCCTGAAGACGAATCTGAAGCAGAAAAATATGAGATTTCCATCTCCTTCGTCCAAAGTGGAAAATTATGGGCTAGAAGTGAAATAGAAGATAATGATGGAATCTTCTCTTTTTCTGTTTCCAAAGAGATCGATCATGAAAATGATGATCAAGATCCAAGTTTCGTGTCAGAGTGTCAAAGAAGGCCTGACTGGGATAAATGGCAAGTTGCCATGAGGGATGAGATATTCTCCCTTAATAAACGGAACGTATTCGGACCGATAATTATTACACCTGAAGATGTAATACCGGTCGGATACAAATGGGCCTTTGTAAGAAAGAGAAATGAGAAAAATGAGGTCACAAGGTATAAAGCTCGCCTTGTGGCACAAGGATTTTCTCAAAGACCGGGAATAGATTATGAAGAGACATATTCCCCGGTCATGGATGCAATCACATTCAGGTACTTGATGAGCCTAGCGGCCTCTAATAATTTAGAGATGTACTTGATGGGTGTTGTGACTGCATACCTATATGGTTCACTTGATAGTGACATATACATGAAAATCCCTGAAGAATTTAAGATCCTTCAAGGATCAAAGATGCCTAAAGCATCTAAAGAGCTATGTTCGGTCAAACTACAACGATCACTTTACGGATTAAAACAATCCGGACGCATGTGATATAATCGCTTAAGTGAGTATTTGTTGAGTAAAGGTTACGTCAACAATGCGATATGCCCTTGTGTGTTTATTAAGAAATCCGCATCAGGATTTGTGATCATTGCTGTATATGTTGATGACCTGAACATGATTGGAACTCAAAAGGAGATTGATGATGCTAGAGCTCATATGAAAGATGAGTTCGAAATGAAAGATCTTGGAAAGACAAAATTATGTCTAGGGCTCCAGATAGAGCATTTCCAAAATGGAATATTTGTGCATCAATCAAATTACACCAGAAGGGTGTTGAAACGCTTTAGTATGGATAAAGTGACTCCTTTGAGTACTCCAATGGTCAATAGACCACTTGACGTTGACAAGGATCCATTTCGACCTTGTGAAGGTAACGAAGAAATATTAGGTCCTGAAGTGCCTTATATGAACGCTATCGGTGCCCTTGTGTATCTTGCAAATTGTACTAGACCAGATATAGCCTTTGCTACTAACTTGCTTGCAAGGTATAGTTCATCACCGACGCGCCGGCATTGGAATGGAATAAAGCATATATTTCATTATCTTCAAAGTTCGATTGAATTTGGATTATATTATTCTAGAAACCCCGAGGTTGGTCTAGTTGGTTTTGCAGATGCAGGATATCTGCCTAATCCGCATAAAGCTCGATCGCAAACTGGATATGTTTTCACATTTGGTGGAACTGCGATCTCTTGGCGATCTCAAAAGCAAACTTTGGTCGCGACTTCTTCAAACTATGCGGAGATTATTGCGCTTCATGAAGCTTGCAGAGAATGTGTATGGCTTCGGTCGATAGCTCATCACATACAAGAAGCAAGCGGAATAATCACAGAAAAAGAACCAACAAAAGTGTTTGAAGACAATGTTGCTTGTGTCGCTCAAATTAAGGAAGGTTATATCAAGAGCGATAGAACGAAGCATATCCCTCCAAGATTTTTCTCATATACTCAAGAGCTCGAGAAGAAAAAGGAAGTGGATATTCAGTATGTTCGTTCAAGTGAAAACGCAGCTGATCTCTTCAAAAAAGCGCTTCCTACTCGACAACATTCAAGAAACATGTTCATAGTATTGGAATGCGGCATCTACGAGATTTGTGAAGAGAGGATGAGATTAATCTTTTCCAGGGGGAGTTTGCTTTTGCTGTACTCTTTTTCCCTTTATCATAGTTTTTATCCCATTGGGTTTTTCCATGGAAAGGTTTTTAAAGAGACAGCACGCAACTTCACAGCGATGGATACTCATGCGTCATTTCGAGGGGGAGCGCTACTGCACTCTTTTTCCTGTCATGGTTTTATCTCACACGGGTTTTTCCATGATAAAGTTTTTAACGAGACAGTACGTAATACATCATTAGTGATGGATAATCAAGAGGGAGTGTTAAATGGATAGTGATTATCCATTTGCTTTTGTCTTTATACATTAGCATATTAAAGGATAATGCTTATCTATAAGTATTAGATAATGATTATCCATATATTTTGGATAATGTTTATCTATATGTTTTGTCTTTATACATTAGCTTACTTTACTGTGAAGTAAGGTTTTTCTTATAAATAGGTGACTTCATTATTTGTAAATTCAGAAATTCAGAAGAAAAAAAAAATGAAATTCTTATGTTCATCTTTCTCTCTTTCTCTCTAAAGTTCAAACTTCTTAAATTCTTCTTTGCTTTCATATAAAACATTAGTTTACAACATTTCTTTCTTTTTCCTTTCAAGTGTTACCAAGTAGGTGAAAATTATATATGAATGGTCCTCTTTGACGATTGTAAAAGTAGATGTGTATGATATACGTTGAATACTCTTTTTAAAATATATGTCTCAATTTAAAATCCGTCTTTCCTGTATATACAGTTTTTTCTCATAATACAGCGAAGCAGTGCTAATTCAAAAGTAGAATGGGTTTTTACAAATGTAATGTGCAGCATTATTAAATTCCAGTAAATTATGATGTGGTTATATGTGCACCTCACACATCAACCAATTTAAAAATCGGCTAGGTGTTTTTTTTTTTTTTGAAAAAGGGTTTAAAATCGGCTAGGTGTTTCAATTAAAACAGAAACAATTACCTAAATATATGATATTTTTGATATGTAGATCTTTGAGGGAAGAAAAACTGGAATCAACCTACAGAATGAAATTAGTGTGACGCTTCAAAAGATAATTTACATCTTCTAAGACATATATGTAACTGACCTTATAATGAATATGTTGTGTCCGATGTCAAATAAAATAGCTCACATTTAGATTAATTAAAGATTGTAACACACGCATTTCTGATCGTAACATTCGTATATTATTAAGTTGGAGAAAAACACCCTTTTTAAAAAAATAAAATAAAAAAAAGTTGGAGAAAAACATTATAGTTAAAAATGGTATTTGTACTCTGCAGTGTGCAGTAATACACTATTTCTTATATTTTAAAATTATTATTATATAACATCTCATTTAGATGATAATGCCCACTGATTCAGACTGTATTATACCGTAGAGAAATTTCCATATACTTTATCTAACTGATTCAGACTGTATCATACCGTAGAGACCAAACTCAAAAGTGATGCCCAAGCCCCAATTGTATTTACTTTTTTTTTTTAAATCAACAAAGCAGAGCTCAGTTAATTTAAAGATCTACAAATAGTAGACAAAAAAACAAAATCTACAAATAAAGACAAAAAAAATCAACACAAATGAGCTTAATAGTCTTTGACAAACGAAGCTTCTGGGAGAAAGAGTAGTTTCCATTCAGTTTCCTGAAGTCTTCTCTCCACTCTTTTTTCCACCTCTTCTCTTCTTATCTGCCAAAAATTAGATTAAATTTAAATCTTGTAGTATCAGCACACAAATCTGGTTTTAACTACAATCTATATTATGAGAACATAAACCATTTTATCTATCTATGTTTTTTTTATTTCTTTTTGTTTGATTTGATGTTATAGTATTAAAAGGGACATATATATTATGTATTTTATTTCTTTCTGATTTTGATGATTAAGAGGTTTTGGATCGAAATACACGTATATTTTTTCATGTTCAAAATCAAAAATATGTAATATGGGTTCGTTTCAACTGACACTCGATTTTATAATTTTTGAATTAATCTAATTTTTATCAAATTAACACAACTTAAAAAAATTATAATTATTAATCTTTATTTGTTGGGGGTAGTTTTAGCATAGTTTTGATCCCTATATGATAGATATTAATTTGATACTAATGTAAGACATGATTTGGTTCAAGAGTTTATTTGGTAATTTTTACTTTTATAAATATTAAGTATTAAAAATCATTTGGATTTAAAACTATGATTGAATTTGCACAAGCATATTTTTGATTTCATCAATTAAACAAAATAAATATAAAATATGAAATTGTATTGACCATATTTAAAACCACAAACTAACAAGTTTACATTTTGTCTGAAAAATTGGTGGATACAATGACATTTAAGATGTACCTGAGTCTCGATGTTCATGGTAGCAGTGAATTCGTGAGGAGAGAAAGTGGCCTGGACCGTTTTGAGTTTTGTCCCCATTGATTTAAGACATTGAAGGACTTCTACCATTGAATCCATCCCAGAAAAAGGTTCTTGAAGATTAAACCTAACCTTTGTTCCACTCATTCCATCATCATTTTTTGCTAATTTTTCCTCTAACACATTCATTCTTTTCTCTAATTCGTTCTTTAATCTTTCTAATTTCACAATCTGATCTACAGCCTTTTCAACAATCGAATTTTTGTCATTCTGAAACATACAAACAAATATATTAATGCAGATATTAGGAAAACGTTTTTAATGCAGATATTAGCTAGAAAAACTATGTTGTTCAAAAAACATTAATGGAGATACTAGCTAGAAGAAATTATGTTGTTCAATTGTTTCCACATATCGGTCCCAAAAGTATTAGCTATGAGAAATTATGTTGTTGAAAATTGTTTTTAAACAAAAATTCGTTGACCATTCAAATTTTAAAGTAACTGTAGTTTGTAGTTAACGGGGTTATTCCCAATTCATACTCCCTTCGTTTCATAATAAGTGTCATTTGGAGAAAATGTATCTGCATTGTAACTGGATGTATCTGGATATGTTTTGAGTTTAATACATCCAGATATATTGTAGATACATTTTTTCCAAATGACATTTATTATTAAACAGAGAGAATATTTACTTGAGTGATTTTTTTCATTATAATTTTTTGAGATTTTTCAAAACATATATTGTTTTTCAAAATCTAAAACGTATAACTTGTTGACAAAAAAACGCATAACTTTAATTTAACATTAGTCATTAAGATTTTATTGATACTATAAATAAATGAGTTTTTATTAATAAACTTATAATTGAAGAGTTTTTACATTAAATTTATAGTTTATGAATTTTTCCTCAATTCACCTTTAATTGAGGGTTTTTTTGTTAACAACTCTTTAAATATTGATATTAACAAAAAATATATATAGATGTAACTATACAAATATAAAAGCTTTAATGGAACAACAGAACAATGTAGTTCATTTATAAAGTAGAACTATCTGTATTATTACATCATCATTTACACTTAAATGCAGAACTAACAATTAATATTTAAAAAATTAAATGTTCGTATTTTGAATAGAAATTGTATTAATTTTATGATTTATACATAAAAATAAATCTTTAGTGTAAAGCACATGAATATTTAAAGATTTATATTATTAAATAAAATATTATTATTTATTTAATCAGAATTTTATGCTTGATTTGCATATTCTGGTTGGTTTGCATTTTGCAAGGTATCCAATATCTAATTCTGTGGTCTGCCGTTTTTTTACAATTAGATAATAACGAATCCAACACATTAACACAAAATGGTATAATATTTTTTTTTAACTAAATTCAATGAACACAATTAAGTAATGTACCTTAGTGGCAAATGGTAGCAGAGAATGGAGAGCTAAGTAACTCTGTTTTTGTTTCTCTCTTCTCGTTCTCTCTTTCATCATATGTCGTCGGCATCTCTCCTTCTCCGGCGCTGCCGCATTTTTCCTCTCCTCCCAATTCTTCCTCAACAGATTCACCATTCTCCTCTTTACGTTCACCGGCGATAAAGACGACATCCTCCTCTGTTCCGTATCTCTCGCGTATGACCTAAAGGCACTTCTGTTTAGTACACTTACTGTTTTTTCACCGTCACCGGAGATGTCACCGGCGATCAGATCCCAGAACTTGTCTTCTTCTTCCTCTTGGCAAACGGAATCTAGAAAAAAAATATCCATCTCTCTCTCTGTCAGTGTTTTAGAATGTTGAGCTGTGATTTGATGTTGTGTGCCTCGGCTCTTATAGTCGTGTGTGTATATATATATCTTATGATTTAAACACGTGGGTATTGTTGATTCAACACACGTGAACAATATTCAGCACGTGGTCAATGAATAGTTTCCCACTTCCTTGTTTATATTAGTGACGTATGAAGGAGAATTATAGACAAAAGTCAATTGACGTAGGAAACATATTGATAGAGAAGCCAAGTGATGTATATTGGCAACAAAAATTTAAAAGTTATGTGGCACATAAAGCTTTAACCATTTGTTTAGATTTGTGTTCACACGGGTATGTTCTTGTTTGTAGCTCATCTTAGATTGCCAATTCCACTACATTCCTGATTATTCATACATCAACTATGAAGCAATGCCAAAAATTATATGAACTATTAAAAAATGGCCAATTCCACCATGAATTAATACATTTCTGATTATTCATATATCAACTATGAAGCAATACCAAAAACTACATGAACTATTGAAATGTTTGAATTTTCATCATAACTTTTAGAATTGTGATTAAAACCAATAATATTGTAGACGTCGTGAGTTTGGCCGTTAGCTGCTGATGAATGGACCAACACGTGGTTACTCAAAACGATGTCGTTTTGTAATTTGAGTGTGAAAAACATAAAACCACGTTGATTTGTCTTATGTCGGAAATTAACTAAAAAGATTTTCTATTCATCGTTTTTTTCTGGTTTGGGGAAAATTTTCACAATTTCAGATCTTAAAACCCTAGAAGCAATCGAATGATATATGGAGCAACGGGAATCACTACAAAAATTTCTAAGATCTGAAATTAACCAAAAAATTTATCTAGAGCAACGAGGATCACTATAAAAATTTCTAAGATCTGAAATTAACCAAAAACTTTGATTGCTTCTAGGATTCTAAGACCTGAAATTGTGAAAATTTTCTCCTCTCTTTCCTCAACCTCTACATACATCATTTGATTGCTTCTAGGGTTTTAAGATCTAAAATTGTGAAAATTTCCCCCAAACTAGAAAGAAACGATAAAGGGAATGTTTTTTTTAGTTAATTCCCGACATAAGGTAAAACAACATGGTTTTATATTTTTCACACTCAAATTACAAATCGACGTCGTTTTGAGTAACCACGTACCGGTCCAGTCATAAGCAGCTAACAGCCAAACTCACGACGTCTACAATATTGTTTGTTTCGACCACAATTCTAAAAGTTATAGTGAAAATTCAAACATTTCAATAGTTCATGTAGTTTTCCGCATTACTTCATAGTTGATATATGAATAATCAGGAATGTATTAATTCATGGTGGAATTAGCCGTTTTTTAATAGTTCATAGTTTCCAGCATTGCTTCATAGTTGATGTATGAATAATTAGGAATATATTAGTTCATGGTGGAATTGACCGTTTTCCCTAGCTCTTCGTCGGTTGATAAGAAAACTAGCTTTGACTAAACCTGGTGTTTCGAAAAGTTTGTTAAATTCTTAGTTGTTGTTATTGAAATGCGACAAAAATGTAATAGCTCTTAATATTCTTGGATTTGTTGTTTTGTGTATTATATACATATGTTCTTGTTTCTATACTTTTTATTTATTTATAAATCTATATATAAATTATAATCTTATATTATACATACTATATGATAAGATAGTTTAAAGAAAAACACTAACTTATTTTAATTCTATTGGTTAATATTTATAATTTGAGAAATATAAATATGATATGAAAATAATGACGTATAATAATGATGTATATATGACATGTTATTTTTTAGTATACATGATTTGTGATATAATATTATTTAATATATATATATATATAATTTTTTGTTAATTTTTTATACAAAATTTAAGTATTCAAGTTTTTGGCAGAAAATATGGAAAATGAGATTTTTGTCAAAATTTTTTGAAATAAAATTTTTAAGATAAAAATTTTATCAGGATATTTACTAATTTCAAGTATTTGGTAAATAATTTGTGACAACCGATTTTGTCAGAAAGTTGTTAAAATCACATTTTTGAAAGAAAATTTATAGATTAATAATTTTTGACGAAAAATTTGTGAAATCAAATTATTGTTTTTGTTTTTGAAATCACATTTATAAATTAATTTTTTGATAAGCAATTTATGCATTCACGTTTTTGGTGGAAAATTCACATATTCACCTTTTTAACAAAAAAATATAACATCACTATGAACGAAAAAAAATTTTCAATCATACTTTGCCTTATACATAATTTACGGATTCAAGTATTTGGTGAGGAATTTGTGCCAATCAATTTCAATTTGAAAAATTTGAAATTATATTTTGATATAATCTTTTGACGAGAAATTTATGTATTCAGAATTTTTGGTGAAAAATTCACAAAATTAGATTCCTGACAAAAAATTAAATTTTGAAATCTCAATTTTGATAGAAAATTATGACAAGAAGTTTTTGGAATCACATTTTCAATGTAGATTTTTGGCGGAAATTTTCATAGATTCATTTTTTGGTAGAAAATTAACGGAATCAAAATTTTGACAAAATATTATTGGAATCATTTTTTGGCAGAAAATTTTTAGAATCGGATTTTTTACAGAAATATTTTGAAATCATATTTTAAGTAAATTTTTGACGGAAAATTTACGGATTCACTTATTTGACAGGAAATTCCTGAAATTAAAATTTTGATTAATAGTTTTTAAAATCATATTTTCAATATAATTTTTTGGTGACTTTTTTTATAAATTAACTTTTTGACAAGAAATTCAGGAAATAAAACATTTATGACAAAATGTTTTTGGAATCGTATTTTTGGCATAATATTTTGGTGAAAAGTTAGGGATTCATAATTTTGACAGAAAATTTGCGGAATCGAATTTTTGGTGGAAATTTTTTAGAATCGTATTTTTAAATAAAATTTTTGAATTAATATTTTCAAGTTCAAATTTTTGTTGCAAAATTTACGAAATCAGATTTTTGCAGGAAAATATTATTTTTGATTATCACTTCATTTTGTTTTATTACAAACAAAGAACAAAAGTTTATATTGTATTTGAATATATTCTAATTATATAGCGAGAATTGTGATTCAGAATTAGGACGAAATATGACGGAATGAGAAGAAAAACTGTTATAAGATGAAAAGTAGAAACCAAAGATATGAAGAATAAAAAAAAATCATTTTTTTTTGTTTTTTGGTTTTTTTAAGTATTTTAAATTTTATGTATATATTTTTTTTCTATGTATAATTTTTTTAACCTATTAAAATATTTTTTTTACAAACTAAATTTTTTACATATATATTACTCTACATACCATCCTTCTATTTATTATGAATTATAATTATTATTATTAATTAATTTTTATCAAAATTCTTCATACACATACAATCCAACAGATCAAATATGTTAATTTTCCTTTCTAATTTTCTTTGAATTAAAATTCATGTGGAAAATATAAACAGTATTGATTAATATTTAATTGAAAATAAAATCTGTTGGCCGATTAGTGCTTAAAATCTCTTGCCAATGTTTATCTTTTACTGTTCTCTAGTTAGCAGTGATATGAGCCATCATCGTGAATTAGGATTTTTGTTTACTTTTTGGAAACTGTTAGAGAATAACGGGAAAATAACAACAACCACTCCAATAGATCATTAACGGCGATGTCAAAAAAGAAAAATAAAGATCATTACCCGGTTTAATTTTTAATTATAAACTGAGTTTTGATGGAGATTGTCTAGTAACTTTATTTCATGTTTTCAGTTCTTTTTTTTATGAGTTGAAAAAAACAACACAATGGAGACATAAAAGTGTACTATTATCTAGTTAGAATATAAAATATTATTATATTCAAAAAATATTTTTTTAATGAATCTCGATATACTCATGTGTTTTTAGTTATTCTTTTCTCGTTTAGTAAGTATATTAAAAAATGATCAAAGATTAAAAAAAAAATTGTCCTTTGTTGCAGCGTTTATATTTTTGTTGACGTACTTTATTATTTTTCCTCTATTATTGCAAGATAATTTTTGAGATTTTCTTTTGACATGTATTAGTTAATTTATTAGTATATGAGTATATCGATTTTCGCAAGATAGTTTTTCTTTTCTCGTTTAGTAAGGTACATTCTTACGACCGGAAATTTCCTTGTGTGAACGACTTTTGACTTTGATTAGTTTATTTCAGGTAGAGCTTACCGACGACCAAAGTTGAACGACTACTATGACTCTAACCGGTTTAGATTATGACTAAAAAGCACCCATAGTAATTGTATAACCAACTTGTTGAAAACCGAACCAGTATACCGGTTTGCTGCTATTTCTCAGCCTTTAACTGCCGGAGATTGCAAATCGTTATTCTAATTATATAGTGAGAACAAACTGTTGGAATCCCACATCGGAAGTTTAAAGGGACCAATACTAATATATATAAGACTTGGACTAATCTACTAATTGCCAATTGGTTTTGAGTTGGAAGCCCATATAACTTAACATGGTATCAAAGCCTCGTTTGTTAATCCAAGTAGGATGGCCCAAAAAGGTTTATTACTGGTCCTAAAGTGGGATTCAGTTCGAGATGGGCTGATAAGAGCCATCGTCTCGAGGGGGCGTGTTAGAATCCCACATCGGAAGTTTAAAGGGACCAACACTAATATATATAAGACTTGGGCCAATCCACTAATTGCCAATTAGTTTTGAGTTGGAAGCCCAAATAACTTAACACAAACCATTGGTTAGAACAATTTCTGAACCACCTGTATAATTTGTTTTCTGAATCACCGAAAGATTGAATTTTAGCAAGAAAGAAACCCAGCTTGACTTAGAAATCCGATCAGTCACTACCATGGTTTTGCGGAGACTCAGGATATAGAATGTGCAAAAGTGGCCGATTCTTGCAACAAAGTGGTGGCCACCATAGTCAACTGTACTGCACTACTGCACCAAGACACATTCACGATTTGATTATCTCCTTGCCTGCGAAGTAATTAACAATGATGGAACCATCGGTTTTTTCCCTTGTTTCAT